ATGCATCCAACAGACGATCTTGATTTTTTCCATTGAAGGGCAACACAACAATTTTTTTTGCGGTTTTAGGTTAAAGTAGATATTTTTTATTTTTCAACGTATTTTAACATATTCAGTACTGTAATTATTGTAAATACTCAGGCAATATTAATAAATGTACCTACTGCATCTAAAGCAAAGCACAACTTCTCGCACAAGTTATCTTCCCAACCATTTGCTGAATGTAGAACATTTAAAGCTTCTGGTATTATAGAATCCTCTGATATCCTGACAGGGATAAGTTTTCCAATGCTATTTTCATCAAGCATTTTCTGAACAACAGATTGTGCCAGATAATTTGCACTACCAGTTGCTGGTGATGGTGCAAATCCTACAACAACCTTCTTGCAAATATTAACTGGTTCTATCAAATTATCAAGTTTATATTTTCCAGGAATCCACTCATTTCTGCTAATACACCGTATTCCTTGCCTCCTTTTCTCCAACTCAGTTATTGTCGTTTTCTCCCATTCAGCATTGTCACTAATGATGTAAAAGTCATACTCATCACCTTAAAATCAAAGAAAGTAAATTTAAGAGAGTTACAGCAGTTTTTTCAGTATGCAACAAATGAAAAATGTTTACCATTTAATGACATAATTATTCACATTCTTGTCCTTTTCCCCCTTTTGATGGGCAATGTCTAAAATTGGAATTTGATGATAAATCTGCACATTAAATTATTTTTTTAACAGATGACACTGATTATGTTTAAATAAAATGATACAACAATTGAGCAACAATATTCTAAAGGCGTTACATCTTTTAAAAGCTTTGTTCCTTTTAATCATAAAGTGTCATGATTAGAAGCTTAATTTTCAGAGCGAAGAAATTATGTAAACCCAGGTGATTTCCTTAACAATGAAACTAGCAATACATTAAGAAATTCATGTCTTTGAATGGTTTCTTTAACACACTTTTGTATAAATTTCTTTCTGATAATCCTAAGCCTAATGATATTGATAACAATATTAGAAAGGATTATAACTAAATATTGGGTGCATTACCATTATTGGTTAACACGGAGAATACTCCTGTGTAGATGTATTGGCAAAGTCAAAAGAAATCTATTTAAAGATTTAAAATTCAGTATCTTATGGAAAACTAATAAAAAGTATCATACTTTACTTCAACCAAAGATGTAATGCCTAATGAATATCGTAGCTCAATTGTGTATCATTTTAAATGCCCTGGCTGCAGTTGTGACTATATTGGTAAGACTGACAGATGCCTTATAACTAAGCTATCTGAACATTCTACACACTCTAACAGTGTTATTCACAATCATATTGAGTCTATAATATAGACTTTATAGGCTATATACTATATATCCACTGGAAAAAATCCCAATATCTGCAGACGGATTTATTTCAGCCTTATAGCCTTATCAGTGGAGGGTACAGATTAAGACGAAACGTTGAGCATAGCATATTATATATATATATATATATATATATATATATATATATATATAT